TTTGAATCACGGTGCCTGCAGTCCACATGTTGAAGTGTCTTTGAGCAAGACAGTGAACCCCAAGTTGTCCCCGATGGTTAGAGCCATCGGTGTGAGTTGGTCGCCGCAGATGGCTGCCTCGGTTCCATACCAGAAACAATTTCCTTGTAACATGCTTGGCCAAATAAAGGTGATTATTATTACTGAAATCGATCTGCTCACAGTCACTTTCAGCGATGTCGCAGGAAGAGAGCCACTACAGTACGATACAGCGAGCCCTCGGCACTTCAGGCTATGCATTCCTGAGCACTCTGGGATATAAGCTGATAAAAGGACTTCTCATGCAGCTGTGCTGGACAAAGCTGTTGTCAAAAACACTCAGGCCTGGGTGCCATTCCCTTTGGAAGATGGTCATGGCTGTTCAAATTGACCTACATATGGCAAGAAGCCTAGTGCAACTTAAGCGATGTGCAGCCATGAGTGTGTCGATTTGAACCCAGTCACTCCCAGCCAAGTCCCCGCCACCCGGGATCTCTCACTGAGAAAAACAGACTAAATATGTGATGAGCTGAGCTGTAAGAGGACTCGAGTGCACAAACACACACAGACACACATTTTGAAGGCATTTACAGACACAAAAATCTGCATTTCCAGTTGCAACTCTGCTCACTTGGGATAATGAGAGCGCATGCAGAGCCTTGGAGACAAAGCCCCAGCATGGTGAGAACAAGGCTCGTCTGATGAGGCCTCTCTATTTAAATCCTGGGAAGAGCTGGGTAGGTGTCTGTCAATGGAATCACTCCAGGAGACATGCACAGGCTTGGAGGAAGAAGTGACCATGGCAGTGAAAGGGAAGATGGAGAGACAGACGAAGACAGAACGCTGTAGATTCACCAACTGACAGGAAGGTGTCTTTGAGGAAATCAAAGGACAGAGAATAAGGGCTTCGATTCAATCAGACATCCCTTCCTACTGTTAGTCACAGAGCACAGATCAGACTTGAATGTTGAGCAAACACCATACTACACACAGGTGATTCACTGTGTTCCGAGCTACTGTAAAGTCAGGCTGCCTCTGCAGGGTGTAGAAATGAGGGTTTGACTGAGTGAGTGGGCGAGTGGGGGTGATGGTGAGTGAGCATGAGTGTGTGTATGAGCAGGCAGGGAAGCATAGGGCTCTGGGAAATTACTACCTTTCCCTTAGTAGATCAATAAGATCCCAGTGTTTCTTGTCCCTAAGAGATTCATGGGTATATCTGCCTCTCCGAACAGGTGAAAGCCAGGTTTTAGGTGCCAGTCTACGAATTCAAGAGTGAGTGAGGCTGATTCTTGGCTGCTGTCTTCAACTTGACTAACACAGGAGAATGTGGAGGTGAAAAGGTCAATCTTTACAACTTAGCAGTGAGAGAAGGAACAGCCTACTGAAGGCTTTAACTGTGCTCCACCACAATAATATATTTAGAGATTATTATCAAATGCAAATGCTACTGATTGTTGTTTTGGGTTCTTTTTTGAGGGACCATCGCCATCAGTCTGCCTGTGCCCTGGTCTCTGCTTGTTATCTGCATCACCTCTGTAATGACTCACTGGGTTGTCCTGGCTATTCAGGGGCACACAAAAGGCCCTCATAGAGGATCATTTAGCCCTGCTAACGAAAGGCTCCATAGTACCCACCCCGACAATCAGAGCCAACTGGGGGCATTCATTCACATGAATTGTTCACTATCAGCCCGTACCCAGAGCAAATACACAATGGAAGCACACAGGAGCACACTTTAATATCAATGCTTGCCTACAAGCACACACAAACCAAGTATGCACACAGACTTTGGATGTCAGGAAAAATGCTGTTGCAAGAGGACTGCAACCAGAGAGCGCTAAGCACAACACCACAGTCATCTCTGGGTTATGCTTATTATTCTTTTTCTTCCTGTGCATTTCTACACTTCTGTGGATTGGATCTGCTTGGCCATTTGTCTAGTGCCAAAGCATAAACCCAAAGATGCTGCACATTTTAAACAACTCTCTTCCACACAATCTCAGTCTTGATTTAGACAGCTTGAATTAAGAAGTGTTGAAATAGTCGATGCTACAGGCCACCTGGAAAGAAAACACCAAAATGTATTTACATTTTATGACAGGCACAAATGTTGTGTAATATTTTGTCATTCTTCTCAGTGTGTCATAGAAGCTATAATCTCTGCTTGTTTAAGAGAATAAAATGTGCTGAATGTATTAACTTGTTAGGTATTTTTAGTCAGATAGGTACTGGTTAGATACTTTATGTACTAGAAATGTTTAGTGGAGACAGGATGTCTAGTTAGACTGTTAAATGCTTAGTCATTGTCATGAGTTTTTTACAGGGTGCACGTGGTCAAGGATAACTAGATAGAAAAGTTTGACTGTCAGCAGACAGGATGTTTAATATTATTACTATGACGTGTATAACTGTAGCCTTAGCCATAATATTTTCTTATGTTTAATGTCATGTCAGAATTAGTGTGGTACAAGAACTGGAAAGATTTCAAACTATTCCAGATATTTTGTATTCCTAATTCACTAGGAGCCAATGAGCAAATGCCCCAGTGTGATGCAATTTTCTGGGTAAACCTGCGATGTGGTTCTAGCCTACACTCTGTTTCTAAAGTAGCTCCAGAAAAGACGCAACCGCTCACCCTGGATTGTTAACAAAAGTGTGAAATAAAAACCCGCCTTGATGTTTTTTGTATACAAAAAGCGGTATGAGATTCAAAGGGGAGTCACGGGAAGTAAAGAGCAAAAAAATCACTGGGGCAAATCCTGTTTTGAAGCCACTGCAGCCTGCACAGAGATGTATAGATGAGGGAGGGAAACAGCTAAAGAAACAAAAGCCCACAATCTGGCACTCTCACAGGTATCTGACAAAACAGAACCGTTTACACAGCTGAAGTAGCAGGCTAATCCAAAAACATTTAAATGGGGGAAACTACAAAACAAGAGGGCCGCTCTGGTCCGATGTCACCTCAAAAGAAACAAAGGAAGGTGAGGGGTGGATGAGAGGAAATAAACCATCCCTGACCGACAGTGAATGTGTCTCGGAGGAGCTCTCACCAGGCTTGTACATTCAAGCTCAAGGTCCAAGGGAGCGGGTGCAGTCAGCATGTCAGCACAGCAATATCTGCCTCAGCTGTGCACCAGCAAGCTCATCGGCAGGGCCCAGTCTGCTTCACCGAAAAACTACAGCAACAGTTAACATCACGCAGTTGGTTTCTGGCTGTCTAGTGCTGACACGACTCAAACGTTGACAGGAAAGGGAAAGGCATCTTTGGCTTCACTACAATCCTGGCTGAGAAAAGAACACTCTGCAATTCTGTAATTATTGACTTCAGTTTAAAAAAAAACATGTAATCTTACACCATTTTGAGCAGTCACACATCATAATCTAGTTGGATGTCTTCTTTCTCCAACTGTAAGGAGTTTGTTTATAACTTCAGTGCTAAGTTTCCTGTAGGCAGTGTGAATTTGGAGGCAAAGGAGTCAGGCACAAAAGGGATGAAGATCAATATTCTATACAAGTGATGTGTTACTGCTAATAAAAATGCCACATCAAACAAAGAAAAAAAACTTCTTTCAGGCCAGTTATTGATTAAATCACAGGAATAATCAGTATGTACCTTACAGTTAGGGCACACAGCAGCCAACAACTGTAATCTGTGAAACTGATAAGAAAAATTCATTGATTTCATCCATTAATCATCTCAGGAGGGTCTGTATTGATCATCGTGTCTGTGTAGTTAGAAGGCTGACTGAGGAGGCAATCACTGAAAAGGCGACAAGTCTTTGTAGAGAGAGTGCAGCAGCATAGATTTTGTTGGGGACATAATAACCATTATTTCCCCCAACACAATGCCAGCCAATACCATCTCAAAATGGCCGAGGTTTTTGTTCCAAATCCAGGGGAGAGAGAGAAACATGCCCTAAAAACCACTTTGCACAGTGCACAAAAGTGCCAGGAGGAGGCCTCTTGTTAAAATGTTTTGTCATGGTTGCTTCAACAGTGAGCAGGATCATTTGTGTTTACCCTCTGCGGGGGTGGGGGCGGGGGTGCCGTTGGTCCTGAAAATGGGTGCATTGTTATCTGATGTCACACGTCTGACGCTGCAGGCATCAGTGTCTGAGGACAATAACTGGCGAGCCAGCAGGAAAATAGGACATCAGGTACGGTAGGAAGTGTGTGCGCACATCTATGAGGGGGTGCCATTTGGAGCCAACAAACGGACTCCAGCATTTTAGTGGTTCAAATTCTAATACAGACTAACAAAGCTGTGAAAATAAGACTTTAAAAGACACAACTGAGTAAGAACAGGGGTCTGTCTGGTTCACAGGTCTGCTTTTAGGGGGAGTCACCCTGTGTCACAGGAAAAGCTTGAGTTTGGACACCTAATAATAAACAGAGACACAGACACAGCCATTATGCACAGCAGGCAGCATATTGTTTGTGATCTATAGCAGAGTGTGTCCCCCAAAGGCCTGACAAAGCACCCGTTGTCTTTCATTTGATCTCTGCAGCAAACCCTGCTACAAGTCTTGTTACAGCACCTTCAGGCCCCACACTGTTCAACTCACACCAAGGAAGTGCAATCAGTGCTCAAGAAGGAAGCAAAGAATAACCTGAAAGCAAGTTCATAAATATTTAACTACTTGTGATATTATATCAGCCTCCACACACACGGTTAAAGCCTTTAAACTAAAGAAAAAGCAATTACACGTATTGCATAAATCTTAATTTAAAGGATCGATACTTGTGTGAGGATCTTGTCTGGGAGAAGGAGTCAATGCCTAATAAATATGTTTTATAATCACATAAACATGTATTCGTTAGGAGATCAACAGAGGTTGGCCGTAAATGCCTCACGTGCATTTCGGACAAATACAGGCCGAAAAGACTTGCCTTTTCACACGTCAGCCACACACACAGGTGTTTGGATCCAAGTCAGGCTAACCTGGTATATAATAAACCAAAACATATTTCAGATCACATACCTCAATATACCCGGACAGCGCTGGAACCACGATGCCCAAAATAAGGACCGATAACGCTGGGACTGAACCCATCTTCTAAAATCTCCGGTTATGCTGCTGTAAATAACTTCAGCCCTGGCAGCTCTGTGTGTAAGGTGACGTCCGGAATAACAAAGAGTAAACCAAGTCCTTGGAATAATCTGATAATCTATCCCGGAGAGTCCTGCTCCGCTTGTTTTGTTACCCAAGCTCCTCAGAAAACGTGGGAGGTGGGGGGGGACGAGAGTCGGTCTCCTCTGGAAATGTGAACCGTGTCTGTGGCGCGGCGGCTCTGCCTCTGCTGCCTCCTCCCTCCTCCGGTTCATGTGATCCACAGCGCGGCACGGTGCGCCACCAGGCGCCTGCTGCGCCCTGCATCCACCCTCCAACGCAAATTACACTGGGCTTCTCCGCAGACGCATAACACAATAACATCATTCTTATGAGCTGGAGCAAATACTGCACCTGAGTCCACATTTGAAGTATTTCTATTCCTTAGTCACTGTATTTCAGATGCAGATACAGTGCCGTTTGTTACACTACATTATATTTTAAGACTAATGTGCACTCTTGTACAGTAGCTGGTAAACTTTTTAACTGACTTTGATCTCCACTGATTATAGTGCGTTCTAGCAGAGTAGCTACCTGTTAAATAGATGTGATGGAGACTTGAGGGCACTTTTGCAGTGTGGTGTTGGTGCTGAGCTGAGTATTTCAACAGCAGACTTACATTACTGAAGTTACCACGTTACTTTTAAGTCAGTTTATTGACAGTGATAAGAGCCAAATACATTTTGTTAATGAGCTTAAAGATCAGATTCAAATGAGCCCAGGACAACACAATCTTCTCTGCTCAAGAAGAGATTTGCTTCAGTTCAAAATTAACAGAATAGTTAGCTAAAGCAAAGCATTTGATTTGTTATAAGAAAACCTCTTTTATAAAAATATGCTATGCATTAGTCTTCTGCTTGTTCGTTGTATCTACGCAAAATATTGTAGACATCTGTGTAATATCTTATGAAGAGAAAAACTGAGTAAATGATGCAGCCAGATGAATGTTTTTCTTAGTTTTGGAGGCAATTTAATGAACAGACTTAATTGTTTTTACTCAGTCGGTTATATTACACACACAGAAACACACACACTCTTATCAACAGCAGATGGTCTGACGACGCTGACCAAGTGTGGACCACATTAAAAAAAAAACAACATTTTAAGGTCTTCATTCAGAATGTTAGTGAAAAACTGTTTTTGTAAATTTATTTTAGAATTTATCAAAAGGGGGCTTGCAAATCTGGCTGATGACTAAAGTCCACCAAACTTCTAAGCACCCCTCTAATACCCAGAGCTTTTTGTAAAATGACATTGTCCAGCATTTTTAGAGCCTCTGAGAGTGTCCTTTAGTTGTTGGACAAAATTCAGTGCCCGAGGATTGTACCTAAGACTTAGAAAAATTAAGGCAATTCTTGAACACCCAGAACTATTTGAGCAGACACACTTGTGTTTCATTTCTAGGAGCGTTTGACTTCTTTGGACATTTAGACATTTAAGCTCCTTTCAGCACTTAGTGAGCATTACAATGCTCAAACCTCAACCTCAAAACTATTCACTAGTCCTCTGGCTCATGGAGCCATTTGTGTCCTTTGGAAGTCTGACCCTAAAAAATCACTAAATTTGGTCAGACTGAGGGTGACTTCGAAATTCACTGTGTTTAATGAAAATCAAATCTTTAGAACTTCTCAGATGTTCTCTAACACAATTGTCTCTTCATAGAGTATCTCACTCTATGTGTAATGTCCAAAGAACATTTTGGGGCCACTTCCAACAGGGTCAGAGTAGGCAAATGGAACTGTTGGTGGTATTTCAGGAGGAAGAGGACTGTTAGCAGCTTTAAGGTTGTGGGTGTGATCCCTGCAAGATGCATTAAATTCTTGTGTTCAAACAGAAGAGCCAAAAGAAATGGAGCTCAAGTGTCTCCATTGGAGTATCTCAGTGTAGAGAACTACATGGAGGTCTGAGGCTCAAGTTAGGCACACAGCAAACATTCAGTGGCTGTAGGAAATATGGATCCAGTAGTTTCCCAAACAGCTCATGGTTTCAGAGGACTGCTTGGTAGATTTGAATGAGTTTGATCCCGCTAAGGCTCAGTCAGGCCCAAGTGAAGACAAAAGCACATAGAGAAAAACCCAAGTGTTCTTGGTGGTGTGGTGGTTTTGTTCACAACTGTAAGGCTGTAGTGGTGCAGTGTCTGGTTGGAAATTTGCCATTTGTATGTACCTGGAGCCTAAAAACCAATGTGTAATGACAGGGCGGTCCACCACAAGAAAGGTTTGCAAGCACAGAAACAAGTTGGTCTTTCTGTAATTGTGAAAACACTCCTTGAAATAATGCATTGCCTAGCCCCTTACCCTAACACTTAACCATCACAACTAAATGCCCAACCTGACCCTTCCTCTAACCCTAATCTAAACCTAATTCTAACCTGAATTCTAAAACCAAGGCTTAACCTTCAAACAGACCTCTGAATGTGTGAGGATCACTTGAAATATCCTGATGATGGTTAAATTAAAGCTTGTCCACTCACACATTTGCCTTTTGTGATCTGATTATATCCTATTTTTCCAAACTCCTTCCCCCCCCTACATTACCATATGTATTTCTCTCTGATGGTTTTTTAAAAAACACATCTTGTACATTTCAGCTTTGCTTCAGGCAGGGCAGCCAGAGTGGTTATGAATGTTTGAAGCATCAGCCATTTTACCTGTTAGAACACGCTGCACATGTTAAGTCGCATCTTGGGATGTGTCAGGTTGATCCCCAGATGACTCAGTACAGTGAATTAATTTTCCGTGTTAGCTCCACAGGTAACCATAGTCCAGTAAGAATACGTCAAACTCTGAGTGTTTCTCCCCCTTTCCTTTGGTTGAATTAAACAAATGGGCTGGAAAGCAGTGCTGGTTTTAATGTCTTAATTTAACTGAAGATATCTGAAGAGCTGTTTTTGTTTTTTTACATGTTGCAGTGCTTTATACTGTATTGTTTCAAGGCCAAGCTACATTATTATGTAGGCTATGTAGTTGTACGCAATTAGTACCAAGAATTTTTTGCCATCATTGATACCCAAGAAGACTATTAATCAGTATTAATTACTTTATTATTCTCATTGAAGAATGTGTTGTAAACTGCGTTGTAGACTCTTAAGTTTAAATTACTTTGGTCTGATTGGTCAATGTATTTTGAAAGCATAGCCTACAACGGAAGTACTTGTGTAAGGCCTTTCTGCATTAATAGTCATAAATTTAATGTCACTGTTCCTCAAAAACATTATATATAGGCATAAAAATATTTTCACCATAAAGTCTAGACTAAGCTAGACATGCTACCCAAAAGTAAACGAATTTTTTGAATGATTCAAGTTAAACTTTTTTGATTGGTTTTAATTGCAGTGATTAAATAAATCACTAATTATGAACATGATTAATAAAAACGTTAGACAGGCGAATACATAATAGTTGTTTAATCGTGTTTTAAAATTGGTCTAGGTTGCGTTTGTCCCAAGTAACTATCCACCAATCAGAATTATGACTCCGGTGTGTTGCTAGGCAGATTATGTTAATATATGCAATACAGCCATCTCTGCAGCTACCATTCTGAGGTAAGAATAACTTGTACGTTTTCCACTAAATGTAAGAAAATCAGGGACTGCTTCACGATAAGTTCTGTTGCGCGACTGCTCGATAGTCTTTCTGTTAATATAAAGTAAATGTGCGCGTTGCTTTAACGCATTTGTACTACTAGAATATATATATTTTTTATTTGGGTCTCTTCGGATGTGGTTGTTGTTGTTAGTCCCACCCAAAATGGAGCCCGTTCTTCCTTGTTCACGGTAGACTTGAAGGGCTGGGCTCAACTAGAATGGGGGGACGGGTGGATCTAACCAAATAATTCGGACCTTTGCCGCTTCAAAACCACTTATGGTAAAAATCACAAAACATGGTCCACGTCCCGTGGCCCGACAAGTTATGTTTGTCTCCAAGCTCAGGCTCACATTGCGACTATATGGCCGTAATGCTAATGTTGCGGTGCAGTAAATGCCCGGGATTCTACGGCGCTAGTTTTTGTGGTATGGTCCGGTTGGGACTGAGAACCTGCGGGGTTAAAATAGGGGGGAACTGTATTTAATGTTAATACCGACTAAATTTCTGAATGAATTTATACAGACGCGTTTTCTTCAGTGGCTTTTGTGCCCAGGGGTGGTTGTATTTAGACACCGTTTTCCGGGCGGCCTTGTGAGCAAACGGTTACCGTGTTTTCGCTCGTACCCCCGCTGAGAGGCTGGTGTGGCCGCTTTGTTTACGGAGGGACATGCTGCTCTTATTTGGCGTGTTGGTCCCCTCAGCCGAGCAAAGGCGAGTGTGGACACCCCAAATCTCTGTTTCAGATGGCACGTGGGCTTGATTTCAGTGCCAGTGTGCTCTGAGATGCAGCTGCAGCGCCTCAGTGTTGCAGCTAAACGGTACAAGGTACAATATGACAGTAGACGCTCCAACATCCATTCGTACCATCTGCACTTCTCTGAAGAAAATCTCATAATGCTGCTTCATGATATTTTTAGGTGATGCATCGAAACCAGTATGACACCAAGTATCCACTTCATATTAGAATCTAAAATCCCCCCCCAGGCATATTCATGGATGGATTAAAACACACTGGGCCTCTGGGCAGAGTAATGTAAAAGGCCCGCCACCGTCCTACATAGAAACCCCAAGATTGAATGGGAGTCTCTTCAGAGATGCTTTCTGTCTCTTAGTGGTCTTATTTTTGTAGTCATTTTTGCATCTCCTTGCTGTCTCTGCAAGGTTGCATCTCTGCACACACATATATGCAAAGATGCAACCATATTCTGAGAACATTTGGCATTTTTTATAGACATATTTGCATCTGTTTCTGGTAGTTTTTTTTAAATATCATTTTAGGTATTATCTATCTTTCTCTGGGATATTTTTGCAGGCAAGCTGTAAGGGGGCCCCTGAGTCCTCAGGACCCCTGGGCTTGTGCCCAGTTGGCCTATTCAGTAATCCATCCATGGATATATTTTACTGTTGGCTATCACCACGTTTTGTTGTTATTGTTACTAAAATCACCTAAATCCTCTTGTCTGTTTGTGTGTTACAGGTGTCCCTGGTTGACAGGCCTGGCACCGTGCTGCCATGGAGACCAAGCAGGAACCCTCTGCTGTGTGGAGTCCGACTGATAACAGTGATTCAGGCAACGCCACACAGGTCTGTGTCCTGTTTGAACTGCAATATTAGAACCATTAGCAACAGAGGAGGATGCACTATGTTTGATACATCAGAAGACAGTTTAAGCATCTCTGAATTTCTCTTTTGAACACACTCACCAGATGAGGAAACTCCTGTCCATTGACCATAGTTGCTCTCAAAATTGCCCATCCATTCAGTTTTAGGCACTTTAGATGTTTAAATTCTTATTTATAACACGATACCATCAGGAAAGCATCTGAATGGTCCTGTTTGTTCTACAGCGTGGCAGTAAGCCCAAACACAGCCAGTCATACAGAACTACCTTCAGAGACAAGAGGAGTCCTGCAAATGCTGATTTTACATTTTTCCTCTTCACTGCACTTTGTAGAAGTGAACTGATTAAACAAAAACCATTCATGCCATTATTTTGTGAGCATCTACACTTTACCTTAGTGCCCGAAGGTTTTGCACAGTACTGTACATAAGATTGCTTATTTAAAGTTAATAGAGGATAAATGAGGTGTAGTCACAGTAGCAACAGTAATATTGCTGCAGCTGGTTCAGAGCCTTTGTGTTAACATGTCCATGTGTTTCAGGTGCATTTTGAAGGTGGCACAGTGGCCCAGATAGTGTACAGCGGGGAGCAGGCGGACCGGGCACAGCAGCAGGTGGTTTATACAGCAGATGGAGACTCTTATACGTCAGTGGAGTCTGCAGAGCACACACTGGTGTACATACACCCTGCAGATGGAACTTCGGTAAGGCACTTATTTGGAGCAGAGATATATGTGGCAGACATGTTAAGCAAGATTTTTCAACTCAAAATAAATGTTAAAGGTAGAGAAATTATATTTTGCTTTCAACTACTAATTAATGTGTAACTGAGGATTTGTTATTGCCAGAATTGTATTCAGCATTGTATTAAATATTATCTTTCAGACTATA